CAAGCCACCCACCTAACCTACCCAACGAATACACAGAAAACGTGTTTTTTTGTGAACCGCTAGGTTTCATAGCACGTTGCATTTGGAACGCTGGTTACCGCAGCGTTCCATAACGTCGTATTGGTTGAGAGGATGAGTGGTTACAGCCGTTTTAAACACTTAGTAAAGCTAATACAAAATTTGTTGTGAATTTTACGTTACAAAGTAAAAAACTCTCGCCAACAAGAAATATATTGACAGGTACACAATGAGAGAAAAATTTGAGTTAACATATAATTACTATATTAGTATTAACAGGGGTAAGATTTTGATAGTGAGAAGTTATAGTGATGCTGTTATATTTCTAGAGAGTAAACTGTAAGTTAGTAGCATACAGTGAGATGCCATGGTGAGGCCATCCCTCTGGGAAGAGTTCACTCGGGCAAATTATGACATTTATATGTCTATAAAATAGTTTGTCTGTTAGTCCAGGTAGAAGGCCAAACGCTTGGGGCTAGACTTGTTAAAGTTTGCAGTGTGGCTGTGGGTATGAGGGGAAATTGGTGGAGATCAAATTGTCGGGGCCTAGTGCATAGAGTTTCATCATATTTTCACATTACAATAGCATTCATATACTGACGTAAAACCAGCCCGTCCTCCTAAGGTTTCACAGCGTCAGAAAGACGGTTAATTTAAAGTGTCCTCTCCTAACCTACCAGACTAAACCAGAAGACCCACAACAGAAAACGGGACAGTGCATCACTTTTGCTAGCCGCTTCCTTTTTCTAGTACGACAATTTTTAGCCTTAGTAACGCATATGAGCGAAAAGCGACGTTTATTTATTTATTTATTTATTTATTTATATACAAGAAGGTACATTGGGGGTTAACAGAGAATATAGAAATTAAATTGATTTTACATTCTTGTAAAGCCACAAGCACGCATAGCGTTTCAGGCAACGTTCTTTGTAAGAGGACGATGTAAGGCTGTTTAAAACGCATGTAAGGTTGGCAGATATCCATTCCGGAGGCGCTCAACACATTGTGCAGCCTTTTGTTGTCGACCCGGGCAATACCGGGTACGCCATCTATAGTACTTATATAAATAAATAGACTTATTTACCAGCTGGTTGTGTCCCCCCTGAAGCTGACCGGGTACACGTAGCATGCGACTTACAACTCACGAAACAACCAATCTTGGCGTACATCATCAGGGAAGAGACAACGGTTGTGGATATTGAAGGGTTAATCACAATTAAAACTAAACGTTACCTGAAAAATGTAGTACTACGCAAATTAGTACTATAGTTTAGGGACGTAGGGAGCGCTGGTGAGGACGGGCTGGACAAAAACCAAACTTAAAACATTTTTGGGCCTACGTATAGCGCATATATATATATATATATATATATATATATATATATATATATATATATATATATATATATATATATATATATATATATATATATATATATATCACGACCGGATATAAGATGATGGTTGCCGAGGCTAATTCCCCATCATCCCGCCGGCACTCAGATGGTAATCTTAGGCATGGTATTTTATCAAATCACCTCATTCTTTGGGGCACATGTGAGGAACACAAATGCGAACAAGCCTGAATGGTCCCCAGACATATAAATATGGTCCCCAGATAAAATACCATGCCCAAGATTACCATCAGAGTGCTGGCAGGATGATGGGGAATTAGCCTTGGCTACCATCATCTTTTGTTCGGTCGTAATGGTCGAGTGGTTAAGGGGTCCTGTACACCAGTTGCAGAGTGATCCTGGGAGTATGGGTTCGAGTCACTTCTTGGGTGTGAGTTTTCAGTTGCATATATGTCTAGGAACCGTTCAGGCTTGTTCGGGTTTAGTGAGAATCCACAAGGTCTTCTCTGAATACTCCTTATTTTCTTCTCCGAGGCTATGGGTCCCCCACATTTGCACCAGAAGTGGTACCCAAAAATGCCACCTTTTTTATATAGATATAGAAATTATATAAATACAACAATTATATATATAAATACATACAACAACAACTATATATATATATATATATATATATATATATATATATATATATATATATATATATATATATATATATATATATATATATATATATATATATATATATATATATATATATATATAACACCTATTTCCCCTAGGACGAACTACTGACCCTCACCAATCATTATTATTATTATTATTATTGAAGGTGAAGGAAAGACACAATATATATATGCAAGTGTATTAAAAAACAACTTTTCGGATGTAACCTCCATTCTTTCTCAAGGTGCTGTATACAATGTTCTCTGGTGTATATATATACACTGTATACACAACACTATATATACCGCACCTTGAGAAAGGATGTAGGCTACACCCGAAAATTTAGTTTTTAATACACTTGCATATATATATTGCGCCTTCCCGTCATTCAAACACAACGGCATTGTAGTTTCTCCATTATAATAATTATTATTATACAGTACATGTTGGGGTGTTTACAGAGGCTGAAGCTGGCCACGCGGCGACCATCCTACCTGGACTGGATAGGAGAGATCAAGCAGCGAGGGCAGGAGATGGGGGAGGTACTGGAGGTGCACACTCCCAGGGTTCTGGAGGAGGGGCAGAAGGAGGAGGAGGTCGAGGAAGAGCTCTCGCCTCAGAAGCGCAAGGACAACCTCCAGAGTGCCATGGCTTGGCTCAGGAAGGAGCTGGTGAGTGAATCCACTGACCCGATCCTGTCGTTATTTTGATATTTGATTTTAGTGTGTGAAGTGATTTGTTTTCAGCGTTAGTGTTGGCATTTAAGGCTGATTCTATTTTGTGCCGGGAGGGTCTAAAACCTTTACGGCTTTATAGTTAAGTCATACCTCGAGGATACTTTTATAACATTAAGTTAGGTTGCGTCAAATTCATATTCATGAATTAGTAACCAGTGATACAAATCACGACAATAATGGGTGGACTAAACAGGAGTCACCTGTTTCAATTCTTCCTCCGTGGTCTGACACTCACATTTTTCATCACGTGTTAATTTTCGTGATTTACACACATATGATAATATATTAACTTTGCAACAGTACGTAGTAAATAATTTTAAATTGAAGAAAGAAATTACACAGATGATATGTACAAAAATAAAATTTTGACACGGCAGTTAGTAATATTGGAACAGGTTTTGTAATTAATGAAGGCAATAACACACAAAAAATGTTGACACGCAGGGTGTGAAAAGGTGTGTATGGTTGGTTACATACAGTTAAGTAGTTAGTTTTTTATTTATCCTTAAAACGGATTGAGAGAAGAACATTCTTTAATGTTATTCCATAGTTTGGGGCCCTTGATTTGCTGAACATTTCTGCCTTGGTTAAGTCGCGTTCTTGGGGTATCAAAAAGATATTTGTTTTTCATGTGGTGCCCATGTATCGTTTTTATGTATGAACTCTTGCCTAAATAAACATTATTATTAGCAGTAGTATTCAGTAATGGTCATGTCTTATCACAGGCATAATAACATAGGATTAAAAAATCAACACTTGTGTATTTGTGTGTTTTATGTAAAGATTTTAATTTCACCAAGTCTCGCATTCTTCTGAGTGTATTATCATGGTTTAAGAATATGGTTTGAAGGAAAGTTACATCTCAGATCTTGACACACACAAATACTTAATTAAGTGTGTTTTTGTTATCCCATATTATTATTATTATTATTATTATTATTATTATTATTATTATTATTATTATTATTATTATTATTATTATTATTATTATTATTATTATTGCTGCTGCAGTCGGGTTCGTTCTCGACTCACAATCGGGAATTCTGAGTTCGAATCTCGGGTGGAAGAGAAATGGGCGCGTTTCTTATCACCTTATGTCCCTGTTCACCTAGCAGTAAATAGGTACCCAGGAGTTAGTCAGCTTGTTGTGGGATTGCATGATGGGAAGGGGCAGTAATTCGACTTTGGAGGTGGGGGGGGGACCTTGATATAAGCCAAACGTGTATATATACTCTATTCACTGGCTGTCTGTCCCCCGACAAAAGGAATTATTATTGTAATATTCGAAAAACAGCTGTATTACTTACTTCTTATACAGCTGTTTTTACACGAGTATGTCTGGTGTTACTATTTTGATCTTGTACAATCGCCAGCTGGAGATGAGACAGCAAGATCAGCATTTAGCGCGGCAGTTAATGCAGCTGCGGATTGAACTACAGCGCGTGCGGCTACTTCGGTCCTGTAACAACCACCAGGCCCTGGTCGACGAGGTCACCAACGAGGCCGAGGAAGCCAAGACTTATGAAGCTTCTGACTGCGAACTTCCTGCTGATCTCAGGTGAGATCTTCAGTGTATACATATTTTATGAATAAAATATTGTTTTATTATTATTGTTATTATTATTATTATTGGCCTGGGTCCGGGCCATAATCCTAACAGGCATCCTGTCCCCAATAGGGTGACACCGCGAGGAAGCCACAAGGGGGAACCATATTACAGTGATTGCAGGCCAATTATTTTAGTACAAGGCCACTAAGTATGTGCATAACTTTGGTTGTACAGTATTAGCAAACTGTTGCTGACAGCATTGTAAACTTGTTTTTCAGAGACACATTTTGTCCTGTGCTTCGTGAGATTGGCGTCACCCGGATGAACATCACTAGCCGGCGCTTCTCCCTCAGGTGAAGGTCATGGTAGATGCCGCCACACTGTGGCACTCTTGTGTTAGTTCTTGAGTGTCTTCATCACCCTGATACTCTACGAACAATACCTCCTGCATCTTTCAACCCCTGGCCCACTGTGAGCAACTCCTTGAGCATCATTCACAGACTGGCACTCTGTGAGTAACGCTTCAAGCATCCTCCACGCCCTGGCACTCTACAAGCAACACCTCAAGAATCTTCCGGACCCTGGCACTCTACAAACAACATCTCCCACTTCCTTCACAGCCTGGCACTCTGTGAGCAAGTCCTTAAGCATCTTCAACACCCTGGCACTCCAGGAATCCTGCACCTCACTTCTACAATCAACTCCAAATTGTTCATGACTTGGCGAGGGTAATGGAGTAATGGGGGTAATCCACACTGAATGGAGCTCGATAATGACCTGTTAGAGGTGAAATGAAAATATGCCTCATTCAGCATTTTACCCGGAACATAAAATGGCAAGAAACTGCTACATCTCTCATATATTCCCAGCTAAACTCCGTCATGTGTATGTCTAACCAAACGCTTGAAACACCCAAACAATCCCGAGTCTGTTAGCTTACATAGTAATCTATGTATAAACTTTCTTGTATATAAATAAGTAAATAAATAGATAAATATATTTCATAAATCTAACGCTGTGTTTCCAACCCAATACTCTCTTGTAAGTATAATCCTGGTTATTTTTCATTGATATTCGCTACTCATTTATATTGCCCTAGCAAAAGATTATGTAAATGGTACCTATTTTATAATATTTATTATAAATGTTTATATAATAAAAATTAATGTAAAATTTAACATTGTATTTGAAAGAGAATACAAGTCTTTTATAGATAAAGTAAATACTTAATCATATGTTTAAGAAAAAACTTTAATTGGGAGACACAAGAAGATTAACCAGGCTTAAAATGATAATAATAATAATAATACTGTATATAAGGAAAAATATGTAATGGTTGTATTTATATTGAAAGTGGTATAGAATTGCTATATTTTATATTTGCCAGTTTTGTGGTATTAGGACTGATCAGTTAATTCTCTAATTAATGTACTATGGTTAATCACTGTAATAATAATTTATATTTATATATAAAATTCCTATAAAATATAATTCTTTTATAAAGAATATTTATAAAGAATATTATTTTATAAAGAATACATAAAGAATATAAATTTTTATATAAACAATATCTGAGACACGATTCAGAGGAGTATTTATTGATGCAAAATGAAGCTCAGTATTCATAGGTTCACAGTGTAAATTATATGAAGTCACTATAGTAATATGAAGTGTTTATTTGTGTAGAATACATATTGAATGGTATGCACATATACACATTGTATGGAGGTGTATAAGTGTATAATACAAATTCTCTGGAAATGTATAAGTGAATAATACAAATTGTATGGATGTACATTTGTGGGCACCATCAGTGTTTTTGGTTTGGCTCAGTGTTAGCCTTAAGGCCTACCAACCTCTGGAGGGTTATTAAGGCAACAACAACAGCTTACGTCATAGCCCGTGCTACTTGGAACTTTTTGTTCCAAGTAGCAGAATCTAAAACAACGAACAAACAGCTTACTGACCACCCAGCAAGTATGTTTTTGCCCTGACCATAGTCCAGGACTTGAGAGTAAACTTAAGTGTCCACACACCGAGAAACGAGGTACACCATTCAGTGTACTGTGAGACTGTGACAGTACAGTGATGGATAGCGTATTGTTTCTTACTGTGTATTGCGGTGTTGGGGCGGCCACATGTGCTCCATTACACATAATCAGGTCCTTAGCCAGATCGCCAACAGGTGCGCTGTGTATATGTGTATACTGTGCAGTAAACTTTGAACACGTGAATCTCGGAAAATCTGTGAAAATCGATATAAAAACTTTCCAACAAAATATATATCAATTTTATGCCTGGGTTACCCCGCCATCATTATCCTCTAGTGGGATACTAATGAGTGTATGTAAATGAACATACGTTTTCTATGTGGACATACATTATGACTATTTAACACTTGGATGAGGTATAGGACAAGGTGCTGGGATATGAGACCAAAGAGTTGAAATATAAAGCCAAGGAACCGGGATGTGAGCACGGAGTGAAAGAACGGTGCCCATCCACGTGAAACATCGGGGAATTGAACACCGACCCTGCAAGAAGTCAGTATAGCTATAAAGCATTTGAAGATATACAAGGAAAGGAGCTTCCATAAGAGCAGAGTGATGGAAGTTCCCACTCCTTAGATCATAAGGCATCAACTGCCGTCCCTACGACAAGCATGGTCATCATGTACTGGACTGGCATTTGTAACTGAATGGACCATAGCCAATGTAAATAACAGTTGCTCCTATGTGGTTGAAAATAGCAGTAGAAAGTTGTAAATTAGTGTAAATAATGCTGACATTTGTGTTTTAAGTACCTTGTTGCCCGGTAACCATTGTGATTACTGTTACTAGTCTGTACATAAATGTATAGTCTGTATAATACAGTAGAGCATAAATACAGTGTGGTGTATTGAATAGTTTGTGTATGCAAGTACATTGTACAATTACAGTATACGTGTGAACTTTTCATATGATAGGGGCAATATATAGTACTTTACACTATTGTATAAAATCATATATCTGGTTGTTGCACTTTTATATATTTTATTAATTTTGTAAGGAATTCTTTTATAATGAATTTTTCTTCTAACTGTTTTATAGATGGCACTTATAAATAAATATTATATTCTATATATAGGCCTACATGTATAACTATAGATACGTTTTATATAAATATTAAAATAATGTGAAGTAGTTTGGAATATCCTGAACCTTTGTTAAAGCGATATCACATCCTCTGCTTAACTCTGTCAGGCTAAGAAATGCTGGAGCTGATCAATCAACCTGTTTGCACACATAACACACCTCAGTTTTATGTTATTATTATTGGCCACACCATTACAACTTTGGTGGTTCAATGAAATTAAGAGAACAGTAATATTGACACCTCTGCGCATCAGATTAAATTTGTAAAATAGTTAGGGCTATTAACCCATGGAACTCCCTACCCGCCGAAGCCTTAAATGCCAAAAAACTTAAATTTTAAGTCAATTGGAAAGTCATCCGGGCAAAAGGAGGAGGGGGGGGGGAACCTTTGACAAGCTGCCGGCTTTCTGTCCTCGTCGAGGCCACTAGAATGTTAATGCCCCTCAGGTAAATGAAATAGGCTATAGGTGGGTCCTAACTTGAATAATTAGAGGTCTCTTGCTTAGCCAGTTAAGGGCTTCCTGTCTCCAGCAGGAACAGGAAGATGTTTTTCTCATCCTCATATCGGACATAGACAAGGACACAATCTATAGCACTGTATCATCCTTTGCAGATGACACTAGGATCTTCATGAGAGTAGACAACATAGAGGACACGGCAAACCTCCAATCAGATGTAAATCAGGTTTTTCAATGAGCTACAGAAAATATTATGGTATTTAATGAAAATAAGTTCCAGCTCATGCGCTAGGGAAAAAAATGAAAATATTAAAACGGAAACCACGTACAAAACGCAGTCAAATCATAACATAGAACGAAAAGGTAATGTAAAGGATTTGGGTGTACTCATGTCGTTTAAAGAACGCAATAAAGTAGCCGTCACAACTGAAAAAAATGACAGGTTGGATAACAAGAACTTTTCACACTAGAGATGCTATACCGATGATGATACTTTTCAAGACTCTAGTGCTCTCTAGAGTGGAGTACTGCTGCACAATGACAGCCCTTTTCAAAGCTGGAGACATTGCTGACCTGGAGAGCGTGCAGAGATCCTTTACTGCTAGAATCTACTCGGTAAAACATCTAAACTATTGGGACCGAGTAAAATGCCTAAATCTGCATTTTCTTGAGCGCAAGCGGGAGAGATACATAATAATTTACACGTGGAAAATAGTAGAGGGGCTGGTCCCAAACCTGCACACAAAAATAACATCACATGTGACCAGAAGGCATGGCAGGATGTGCAGAATACCCCCGTTGAAAAGCAGAGTTGCAATAGGTACTCTGAGAGAGAGAACTCTATCAACATCAGAGGCCCGAGACTGTTCAAGACGCTTCCACTACACATAAGGGGCATAACTGGCCGACCCCTCACAATGTTCAAGAGAGAACTATCAACATCAGAGGCCCGAGATTGTTCAACACGCTTCCACTACACATAAGGGGCATAACTGGTCAAGAAAGGATTCAAGAGAACTCGATAAGCACCTCCAAAGGATATCTGATCAACCAGGCTGTGATTCATACCTCAGACTGCGGCCAGCCGCATCCAACAGCCTGGTTGATCAGTCCAGCAACAAGGAGACCTGGGTGATGACGGGGCCGCGGGGACGCTAAGCCCCGAAACCAACTCAAGATATACTCAAAGTATAGCATGGTAGACTTCAGTTGGATAAGGATTCACTGCTGTGTCCACTTACGAAACCTGCATATCATTTCCAGCCCGTCCTCCAAAAATGGGGAGGTAAATGTACAGAGCCCCATAAGTGCAATTATGTACTATGTATAACAGTTAAGAATTGTACTTATTTACACAAGTATTAAATCGTAGTGTCAAATATATTGTGAATATTTGAGTTTACCTCAAAAGCTGAATAGAAAACCACGACCTATCCTTACCGTCTTAGCTTGTAAAGATAAGCATTTTATTGCATTTTAATTATAATTGTTACTTAACCTATAGCTATTGATATTACAATTTTATAAACAAACAAACAAAACTAAAATATTTCAATAAATTGTAAAGTAACTCAGGATATTTTCAAATTTTGTATAAAATCTCTATTGTTTAATAAAAGTGAAAAGGAAAATCCTAATATTTAAAACTTGTTTAAATCAATTGAAAGTTAAATTTTCAGCTTAAAATTTCAAATAGTCTAGCAGAAAACGAGTAGACATAAATCTGGGGATGGGAAAATGTAACAGCTCCGTACGTGCAATTATGTACTATGTATAACAGTTAGGAAATGTACTTATTACACTTAGTATTAAAACGTATTATCAATTCAGAGGATGGGTTGCATTTCAGAATTATCGCAGCAAAAGTCTGAATTTATTAAATAATTGTTGAGCTTAGAAATGCTACGCGGCCAGTCTGGATCCAATGTTATTATTATAGATAATCTTGTAGCTTTTCCATGCTCATAAACTGTTTAATAAATGCAGACTCAACCTCCAAGAGTGTGGAAAGATGTACAGGTTTCGTAAATGCTTGATGAATCCTGGCCCCGGTCCATGTAAGCCTGCAGATCACACGGATATTTCTCACCCCCTAGCACAGTCGGCTCCCAACCAAAAGGTCCCGGGGTTCGATTGCCGCAGCAGGACAGAGGCGTTTGGACACATTTCCTTACACCTAATATTTTCTTCGCCTGACAGTAAATAGATGGGTACTAGGGAGTACCTGGTACTGTTGTGGGCTACAGTGTTTTCCACACGCACCTCAGGTAGGCTCCCAGCACACAGTGACTCGCCAGCTGACTCTTGACCTGCCAGTACATAGCAGTAAATGAAACTGTAGAAGGTTTACCGGGCCATACGAGGCAGTTCCTATTATGTCCACCCACACTCATTTGTGTATACTGCAGGTCTGATCTACACTTAAAATAATCCAGGGATCCAAATTCAAAATTCAAAAATTCTAATGTTTATTCAGGTAAAGTACATACATACAAGAGGTGATACAGAAATTGATAGATTTATAGATAGAGCTAGTACATACAATGCCTAAAGCCACTATTACGCAAAGCGTTTCGGGCAGGAAAAACATTAAAAACTAAAACTTAATACTAATTGATCCCACATATATTATATTACCTTGTAATTTTCCCATAAGGCCACTATATAGTGATAGTGGCCTCGACGAGGACAGGAAGCCGGCAGTTTGTCAAAGTGGCAAAGAAATGTGGCAGCTACCTAAATTATCCCAAAAAATCTCACATTCCAAGAAATTCTATTGTAAACACTTAAAGGTTCCGCAGTAATCCCACAATGCAATAATTACATCAATACATGTTCCCAAGAGCACCCAGGAACTATTGCTAAACAGAAGCTAAGGTTTCCCGGCAGCTGGTTTACGAGCAACCAACTGGGTGTCAACCATGGTCAGGTGGACGCAAATATATGGCGGCCGCACACGCAATTACGGTAGCCGTAGCAGGAGCCACCCACATCTTCACAGACGGATCGGTGGACACAGAAAATGAGAGTGCTGGCGCTGCTCTTTGCACGACCAGCGTTCAGGCATATTGGAGACTGGGAGGACTAGTATCATCAACCCAAACTGAGCTGTTCGCCATACAACAGGCATTCGCATATGTGATTGCACAAAACACTCAAAATGCAATCATACACACAGACTCAAAAGCTGCACTTCAAATACTAGGACAAAAACAGTGAAGAGATAATGTGGAAATAATTACCACCATTTTGTATCAAGGAGCAGTCGCTAAAGGCAAAGGCCTCAACATAACTTTAAACTGGATCCCATCCCATATTGGAATCCCATTAAATGAAAAAGCTGATGAAATTGCTAAATTGGCAACTCGTCATCCAGTGATACATAAAACAATTCAACCCAGCCTAGAGAACATAAAAAACATCATCACCAAAAAACTCTCACATCTCAACAAAGCCTACCTACACCAGAGAATAGCTGAAGGTTCGCCATCTGCAACATGGTATCTTCAGGCAACCAAATTAGAAAGGTTAAATATCCCAAAAGGAATCCACAGGGAAATAGCAGTTAGGCTATATAGACTACGTCTAGGTTACAGATGCAACTGGGAGATTGGTGAACCCCGACAGAGAGAGTGCATCTTCTGCCAAACTGTCACAGAAAAGCCATTACTTCACTATCTTCTGGAATGTGAAGCAACCAATGACCTTAGAAGAGCTTTAAGAGTTCCTGAATCATGCAGTGGCCACCCTGAAGCCATCAACACAGCCACTCTCCTGGTCAACAAAGGTGTCCAGCAGCTGGACACCCTCATAAAGACTGTGAAGCAGTATCCTCCCCCACGATAACAGCTTGATGGTTAAATGCAACCTCAGAACACTGGGGAAAACAAAAAAAAAAATTGTACCACTTACGGGCTATTCATGCCCGTGCCACCTCTTGGGTGGCTTAATCTTTATCAATCAATCAGCAATTACGGCGTCCATCTGGTCACCACTTGGTCCGGGAGACATCTCCCGTCACGCAGGGTGCAGTCGCACCTCCACAGATCTCCAGTATCAGCTATTGATACTGGCTCAAAAGGGCCACGAGTTACGGGCTATTCATGCCCGTGCCACCTTTTGGGTAGCTTAATCTTTATCAATCAATCATCAGCAATTACGGTTACGAGCTATTCATGCCCGTGCCACCTATTGGGTGGTTTAATCTTCAACAACAGCAGCATCTTCAATCAAAACTCCAGCAGTGGTTCAGTGACAATTGTTCTGGGTACACCACTGACCATCTCCAGCGCCATTATCAGTCATCAACACTCGTGGGACAGACTGGACTGGTGTTGCCTCACTGTCACACCATTCTCACCACACCACTGTAAACTACACTGGTGTAAATACTTACTACAGCGTTTATTATCACCAAATGAACGTTACAGCATGTTAATAAAGCACATGGGATACTCTGATATATTTCTAGCATCGTTAGCCATAAAACAATTCTCTTACACTACATTGAATCTATTGAAAGTACCTTTAAGCAACCTACCTCATTTTGTGTATAATTATATATATTCTTTTTTTATATCTAG